GCTCCGCCAGTCGGAGATTTCCTCGGGGTTGATGCAAAGGAGCCAGAATTCGGGGAAAAAGGCGCCGCAAAAGGTACAGTCCAAAGACTTCTCGTGGATCTTGTGGTCGATGCCGGCTGCGATGTACTGGCAATACTCGATGACCCTTTTGGTGTCCTCCTCGGAACACTTCTCGGCCAAGTTGAGGTCGGCGTCCTTCGTCGGTCTCCCATGGCTGTCGACGTCTACACCGGAGAGCTTATTCTTCCAGATCCTCACCAGTTCCTCGTCGGTGGCTCCGGGGTGTGTCAGCCGGAAATTTGCGATGCCCATCTTCTCGGAGGCCTTTTTGAAAGCCAGGACTTCCAGCGCCTTTTGGGCTGTCTCGTCATCGTAGTGTTTTCGACGAGCCTTCGCAGCCTTGTCCTCATCGGAGTCAGGATCGGCACCGNNCTGCAAGTGCCCGCGCGGATGCGAGCGCCTTGTCGGAAGTCGATGAGGCCGCTGTGTTCGAAGCGCTGGCAGACTCGGTGAAGTGTTCGATGGGATCCGCCGGAGTGACAGGGCTGATGGGCTCAGTCACGGTGAACTGTTCGATCTCATCGACTTCCATCTGTTGATTGTTCGACATGATAATGAGGGTTAGGCCGAGGGAAATTCGAGGGTTTGATCGACGCTAAAGCTCGAGCACTATCGAAGCCACACAGTCTCCAAGGAGAAAGTAGGCCCCACTACTGGAACAGCGGAGCCTAACAAATTCTACCAAGCAAGCAAAGGTCGGGTTATTTGTCGAGAATGGCCGAATATTATGATCGGTTCCAGAGCTCCCATGCGTCGCCTAGGCGGAAATGGGAATACTCTTCGGGGTGCACCAGTCGATGATATCGTCGGCGTGAATCGCCGTGATTTAAATTCGGCATGCGCACATCGCCTAGGCGGAAGCGCATTGTAGCCCGATGTCTAAATTTCTAGACTCAGCCATCGGGGTCGGTTTCTCTCATCCTCGGAATCGTAGGAAGAAGCTCGGGGGCTCGGCGGTGACAAAGGAGGCCACCTGTTCGTGCTGTGCGAACCACGAGCGAACTCCCGGTTGTATCATCGATGATGTACAGTCCAGGATCGCTGAGCTTAGGTGTCGTGCCATGCTGGCAATCGGAGGGCTCTCGGCGAAGTTCACAGCGAGAGTCCGAAGGTCACGGGCAAAGCAACACCAAAATCGGAGTCGTCCATACTGATCGTTGCTGGTGTGATGCAAGTCGAAGAGGCTGGCAGTAATCATGTGCCAGACGACGGAGTAGATCAGCGTGATCATCGGGTCATTGAAGTTGTTGGGCACGCCCAGCAACAGAACTCGCTGTTGCAGCACATGTGTGTCAGGACAATGTACCGGTAGATCCACGAATACTCCGTAGTGTGTCGGGGTAGAGCGGCGTGTGGGACAGTTAAGCACCTGATCGACGTAGTAAACCCCCTCGTACGTAATCTCCCAAGGTGCATCGGATGCGAACGCGGCAAAGGGGTGATTTCCCG